CGGCAGGCAGGTGGCAGCTGCGAAGGATGGAGAAATCCTCTCGGAGCATTAAAGCGGCACCCGTTGGCCCAGAGGCTGTTTACAGGCATCTCGCTGCTGGCCCTGTCCCCAGGGACACACACCTGGGCAGGGCTCCCTGGGGAAAACACCCCATGGAGGGGATTTTAGAATCATAGAAACATAGAATCATAGAATCTTTAAGGTTGGGAAAGACCTCTAAGATCATCAAGTCCAACCGTCACCCCAACAGCACGCTTCTGCTAAGCCACTTCCCGAACTGCCACATCTACACGTGTTTTGAATGCCTTCAGGGATGGTGACTCCACCACCTCCCCAGGCAGCCCATTTTAAGGAAAGTCTTCAGCATTTCACGACGTGGAGCAAGGTGTGGGTGCTGCAGAGCTCACCCCAGGGTGGAAGCATGGAGCCGAGATCACTTTTGTCATTTTGGTATGAAAGTGCTTGGGATAAGCGTGGTCAGGGTGCAGATCTCACCTCCGGTGGTGTAAATCAGGAGCGTATCCACTGCCGTCTGCAGGGACGTGGGAGCAGAGCAAGGCCGTGCCGTTTGTCCAGAGGTGATAAGAAGCAGGGAAGATGCTTTTCTGTACATCAGCTTGACGAACATGGTGTTGTGGTTAAGAGATGTCCAGGAGAGCCCTGCGAGGGGAAGGAAGAGAACATCCAGGATTTCCCGTTTATCAGCTGTAACCACCTCCTCCATCACCGCTGTCAGACAAGAAAGAGTTTGCAGGAAGGAGCTGTGGTCTGGGCAGGAAAGGGATTTCGTTGCCGTCACATCACACTGCGGCACATCAGGCCCCGCTGGTGGTTTGCCTGGATCGGACACGCTTTGCCCGGATCAGGCCCCCAGCCACGTGTGTTTAACTGCAGCGGCGTCGCAGCCGTGCGGATTACCCGACACGTTCACCGGATGGATATCGAACCTGGAGTCGAAACCAAAAGCCCACAAAGACAGAGCCTCTTGACACACTCCAGCTTGGCTCTGCAACCCGACTCGTTTCGTTCCTCCGGAGACAAAAGGCTCAAGCACTGTGGCTGTTTAATTCACAGAAATAGGATCAGGACCTAAAAGTAGCCATTAACCCCCCTCCAAAAAGTCCCCGTGGATTAATTTTTGTCGCTAAACACTCTCCCCCTGCTCCCCCTTCCTCCCAGTATCCTGTTGCATGGAGAGCTCTAGCACAAAAAAATGCACAGCTGAAAATGAAGCATCCGCCCCCTGAGAAAACAAGGAAACCAGCCCAGTGGTGAGCCCTTCCCTTTGCTGCCCCATGTGCTAAATCCATTGGAGCTGCGCAGACCGAGAAACCCCAGGACTTCCCACTCTCGCGCTCTTTTATGACTGCGCATCCCCGCTACGAGCAGGCGATAAAATCCTGCAGCCGCATCAGCACAATTAGATCAATTCCACAGTTCCACATCCGCATTTAAACCTGATCAAATAACTCCTCGCCCTAAGGAACCTGGGGAATAGCTCTTTATAGGGAGAGCACGAAAGGAGCCAGAATCGAATTAAAGATTCATTCAAATTAAAAGGTTCAATTTTAAAAGAGGCAGGGCCGAGCGAGAAGGAGCTGGGGAGCGCGTTTCTTAATGAGCTCGGTGGCAGGAGTATCTTTAATAATAGATCTGACGGGGGAACCCTGTAACCCAGCAGCGCACGAGGCATTTCCCTCGGCTCGGCAATAAACGGAACGGCGTGTGTCCCCCGCGCACAGGTGGTTGTTAATGCTCCGTCTGAGCCCGAGATTAAATCTCGGTGACTGGAACAAAATCGCGGCGCTGGTCTTATGGACAGGCGTGATGATGCTGAGCCGATAGCACGGGGGAGAAAGTGCCCTAAAAAAGGGGAAGATAATGAATAGTTGTGAAAGAAAATGAGTATTTCTACAGTAGGATGAGGTGCCCGGTAACTCGGCTGTGCCCCTGCCTGGTCCTGATTTGAAAACAAAGTCAGCAGGATAAATGCTGCCTTCTTCAAAGCGTGGATGAGGACTGAAAAAAAGGGGAGGTTTTTCCCCCGGCTCTGGCCTTTACCGCTGGGGCAATCTCAAGGCAGTTACGACATGGACAGCCCTTCTCCTCCATATAAACAGATCAGGGTACACAAGGTGCTTGCTGTGATGAACCCTCAGAGCGTTAAAACCACTCGTGTATCACTTAGACACATCATTTCCCCACAATTTCATTTTCAAAATGAGGTTTCTCTAACTTTTTCTAGGTGGAGGAGCAGAAAATAAAAGGTAGTTTACAGCTATTATAATTTTTTTTTTAATGCCAAAATTGTTTCCATTTCAAGGAAAACACAAGATTTGAATAAAAGATTTAGTTTAAGTCCCTGGTGAGGGGGCTGAGCTGGCAGCCTGGGCTGGGGGGGTGATACCTCTCCCTGCCCCGTTTCAGGAGCGAGCTCCCCAGCAGCCCCTCTGCCGCCCGCGAGCCCTCGCCCCCATCAACACCCCTCCTCCGGCTGCCGAGAGCAGGCGATGCCGTGTCACACAGAAAGACAAGGCAGGGAGATAGCTCTGGAGAAAAAAAACCCAAATAAATTACCCAACCGCTTGTTTCTAACCCTTGCAGGAAGCAGGGTCTGGTTTTAAAGAGCTTTGGGGCATTTCTCCGGCGCCCCAAGGCTGCCCAGAGGATGCTGCCCAGCACCCAGCATCCCTGCCGGGGACGGGGCCGGGGGGTGCTGCGCAGGCTCACAGCGTTGTTATGGTCGTTACAGGCAACTTCAGCTCCACCGCTGCAGCTCGGTTCTGCAGCTCTCCAGGCTTTTTTCAGTCAGTTGGATCAAAACTTACTGCCTGACACTGCACCCCGAAGCAGCGAGAGCTGCAGCCCGGCTCGCGGCCGTCTCCCCTTCCGGGGCCGCTGGGGGGGGCAGGAGAGGGCAGCGAGAGGAGACAGGCACTCTCTGTGAGCGGGAGGCGAGATTTATGTGAACAGTTCTGGGAAGGAGCAGAGGGAGGGCTTTGGGGCTCAAGAAAATCTACGACTGGGTTTTTTCCACAGCCGGCTCCCTCGCCGGCTGCCGGCAGCACCACCAAACTCATCATCACCCTCCAGCCACGGGCACGCAGGGGCTTTGCAGGAGGTTCCCAGGCACTGGAGAAGTGCAACAGGCTGCGGGAAAGCAAGCTGGCAGCAAGAATGGGCAAGAGCTTGGCCAGGCAGACAGGCAGGTGGCAAAATGGGAGGAAACGAAAAAGAAAAGCACTTCGTGGCCCCACATCTCCAGCTGCACATCAGTCCTTTTTTTTCTGTTCCCCTTAACTTTCTGAGTTGACTTCAATATCCTTCTCTCTTTTCTCGGCAGAGTCTGGCTCATTTTTCGCTCCCAGGGGAGAGACAGACTGCCCATGTCGGCAGCTGCCTGCAGGCAGACTGACTGCAATGTATAACACACACATATATATGCATTTATATGTGTATCTATAAATAAGTGGTGCCCTGAGACCCCCTTAAGACGTGGGTATCCAAGGGCATGGTACCACATCACACCCCACCTCAAGCTTCTCCCTCGCCTGCCCCGAGCTGGAAAGCATTTCAAAGTCAGGATTAAGGTCTTCAATTGCTCCACGGCACTGGAAGACTTTCCTGCTTGCTGGGAGTGGGGTCTCCACGGCGGCACCACAGCCCCGGCATTCGCAAGCCCCACTCACCCCAACACAGCACCTCGGTACAAACGATTTATAGCAAACACTGTGGCAACCGATTTATGAATGGGCAGGGTTTGGAAAGAGGCCCGATCTGGAGCACTGGAGTTTTGATGTTACTTTATGAATGGCAGCAAAATTGGAGCCCAGCATCTCTGTCCTGGGAATGAGGAAGTTCTACCATGGATGTGCTGTGAGTGAATTAAGCTAAGAAAAACCTTAGAGAGACACCGCACCACGCTAAAACCCGATACTTTAAAATGTTGAAACCTGGGATAGCATCAGAGTGAAGGGCTCAGGACATTCACAAAACTCTTCAAAACTAAGTGGCTTAGGTGCCACCGTGCCCTTAATGAAGTGCCCCGACCCAGGACCATATTGTCACCATGTCCCACCAGTCGCTGACCACAAAGAACATCCCAAGTCACTTGCTGCCATCAAAAGCATCATGGTACGTAGTCACTGTGTTTAGCACAGCTGTAAAGCATCGCCTGCCAGTCTTGGATGGCATCGCACCAGCTCCCGTTAACAAAACGGAGCAAGACTTTGGCTCTCATCATTGTGGGGTGAAAAACACTGGAAGCACGTTGGCCCATAGACCTGCAACGCCAGGAACAAATTGAGAAGCACGAGAAATCCTGCCCTTACACAGGGATTTTCTTATCCCAGCCTTCCACGTGTTTTTTAAGTTGTTACTTCTGGGGTGATACCCTATTTCTCGCTTGTTTTATGATATATGAGACCTGGAGGGTCACCAAGGAGCAAATGTCATAAAGTCTTTAGGATCCACCAGGATGGGGATGGAGCACCTGGGATGAATCGCCCAGGATGGCTGGGTCTCCAAAATGCCAACATCTGACCAGAGCATCAAGGAACAACTTTCCCTGCTGATGCTTCGCTTTCCCAACATGATCATCTACTGAGTTCTTGAGCTAAAGGGGATTTTTGTACTTGTCTAAGACTTCTTTGTCCTCAGCAAAGCACTGTTCAGGGCTCCGTGGTTGGGAGTACCCCATTCCCATGCGCTGAAATTGCTGCACTCTAAAACAAAGATTTTTAAAAGTTTTGGCTGCTGTACGGCAAATGCCCTCAATCCCTACTTGGGGTAGGTCCCTTGGAAAGCAGTTTCTGGTGAATTTTGCTTTTTAATTAGAATGTGGCTGCATAAAATGAAATAAAGAGGCTGCTGTTAAACTGTACTTTTTACAGCTGTGCCGTGGGGAAAAAGCTCTTGCTTTAAAGCAGGAGGAGGACTCAAGTGGGTAAGAAAGGCGATAGCTTCTCCGCTACTCTCCTGATGAACTCAGGGCAGCTGAGCCCGGGGGAAATGCTAAAACAGGCAGCTTGGCTCCATCGCTCTTGCCTTCACCTGCCCAAAGCCACCACCCTGCCCCCACCACGGCCATGCATTCCCCACCTTCCCCCCTGCAAAGGATCTGCCACACGCTGGCTTCCACTCAGGGATGGCTCGGGAAGGCTCGATGCAGCAACAGACGCAGGCACACGATCAATCACGTCGTCACCTCCGGTTGTGCAGCCAATGATTCCCCTTTCTCTTGCCGGTCTGCGTTTGCCAAGAGCAAATTGAAAAGTTACAAAGAAAAATAATGGAAATTATTTATTCTCATTCTGTAGAGGATCCGGGGGGTTTCAGGGACCCCCGTCCAGGTACGGCTGTGCTGCTGCTGATACCAGCCTGACTGAAGGTAGGCTTTGCCAGAAGTTACACCACTGGTGAAAGCTTCAGAAGAGCAGCCCAAGTGCATTTGTCCATCGCTGGTCACAAATGCATCTTTGGAGGTTGTGCAAAATCTCTCCCAGCATTTTTCTTTTCTTTTTTCTATACCTCATAACCACATAAAAACCCTTCTTTTGGAGGAACAGGGGTCTTTTTCTTTGTTCAGAGGTGAGGAGTGGATTGTCAGGGGACAAGGCAAGGACAACCCCTTGCAAATGACTCCCCATGAACCAAGCAAAACCTGCAGCATGATGGAGGCAGAAGTCTTCCTTTGCTGGCTCTCTTTGGAGAAATAAACGCAAT